CTGCTGCAGCACACAAAGCACGAAGCGCCCTGGACAGCCTCAGCCAACAGAGTTTTGTAACCATGAGCGGCCCGAACGTGAACAAGCCACTGACGCTTCGTTAGGAACCATTTGGCGCAGTTCCCGACGGAGCAGCGAAAGCCCTCACCTTGTCCAGCGGGGACCTCAGGTGGTGCCTCTTGATGGGGACCAGGAGAGCCTGCTGGAGGAATGCTGACCGAGAGCCACGCGGCCCTGACGACCGAGAGGTCCAGCTCCGTGAACCAGTCCCGCAAGTCCCCCTCCTCGAGAAACTCCAAAGGGGCTCCTGACCAGGACCGCATATCCTCCTCTGTGTCCACAGACGTCCTCCGAAGCGCCTCGAAGTCCCTGACGTACTGGATGGCCCAGGGGTTCGCCGTCTCCGTGAGATGGCCCTCGGGTGAAAGGGTTCGGAGGCCTCGCATTTTCTCGATGTGCATGTCCCCAAAGAGGGGGGCCCACTCACTTAGGTGTCTCGCGGGCTCTCGAGCCCACTGCTGGTACCACCGCAGACGTCTGACACGGAACTCGATCTCGAGAGGAGGGACCCGCCAATACCTCAAGACCGCCTCGGAAGGGACCGAACGAGCGTGGCCCCCCTCCCAGGACGTCGCGGCCCCCCTCATAGCTTTGCGCCCGAAGAAGACGACCCGCGCCGTGAGCTGGTCGATCTGGCTGGGGGTCGGCAGGAAGGCCTCGCAGGCGGAGCACGCGGGGCCCACGACCCTGGCCAGGAACACGGCTCGTCGCTCGGTGTAGGCGATCCCCCGAGCGTACCAATATTTTCCCATGGAGAAGAAACCCGCCGAGATGGCCGCCAGACGGGCCGAAAGCTCGGCCCGAAACGAACAGTTACCCATGACCTGGCCTCCGAGATGTCGAGTTGAGTCTGCTGGGGCCCCTGCAAGAAGAACTTTTTGTTCCGCCACTTCACGCCGACGTGCATGTAGCCCCGTGCCCACGAAGGACAGGAGGCTGACGTTCTTGGCTGGGTTGAGCGCGTAGCCGTGGCGTCGAAGCTCAGCAGAGAGAAGCAAGTCGTATGCTCGGGACCACCGCGCGAGCTCCGCGGCCGTGGCCAGGTCGGGCGGCGCCACGATCTTCCGAATGGCGTCGTCTACGTATGAGTGAAACGCCAAATCAAGAAGAACCTCCTCACCATCAAATATTGAGCGTGAGCTGGCACCAAGTAGCCGTCTCGGGGCCAAACTCTACAAACTGTTCCTGCACCTTCGCAAAGACTGTGCTGATGTCCCGCACAAAAACTTTCACCGCCCACGGGTCACCAATGAGAGCCCCGACGCTGGGGCGCACGCAGAGGTCGCCGAACATCACGGCGGCAAAGCGGAAACGCTGGCGGCCGAACGAAACCTGGTCGTCCTTCATGATGCTCTGGTTGGCGTCTGCCAGGCTGTCCCAGTTGGTGGACGCGAAGGCGTTGGTGATGTCCTTGAGGTCGGTGACGTGATTGAGGCCGAGGGAGCGCAGCTTCCATGTGCACAGCTGCTGGCCCAGTATGGCCGTCTCTCTGCGCCGATAAGGTACGCAGCCATGAGCGAAAAGAGGTTCGTCCTGCAGCTCGTGTGGGTCCATAGCCGTGGCCATGAAGCCCTTGCCGAACGGGTCGAGGAGATGAATGACTCTCTTCCAAGTGAGCGCCACTCCTTGGCTCAGATGCCACACGAGCGGGACCTGGCCCGAACGTCGGAGCCTGTGGAGGAAGATCACCAGGAAGCGCCACGTGTGCTCCTGGTCGATCTGCGGTGTCTCGTAGCCAACTCCGCGGTAGCGCCTGGACACACGGCGGTACGGGTGAAGCAGCATCCACCATAACTCCAGCGGCACCGACCACGGTGGGCAGGCACGACGCTTGGGAGCCCGTCGTAGCCAATCGCGCAGCTCTCTGAGTCGACGCTTAGCCCAGCCCAGGCCCTCCTCGGTCCACGGGGCGATGAACTGCTGCGCCTCCTGGCCCGTGACGTCGTGGTAGACGTAGTCCTCGGCCTGCTTGACCCAGTCGATGTGGGTAGCCGCCATGCCCCCCTCGCCAGCCGGCAGCGACCAGCGCTCGGCCAACTCCTCCCCAGTGGGGAGGGCCACGGGCGCCCGTCTGTAGTCTCTCTTGCGGGGGCCCACGCCTGTGCCCGCGAGAAGTCGGGACAGGCGGGCCACCTCGGCGCTGCGTCCGTGACGTCGGGCCTGGTTGAGCTCGTCGACTGTGTCGATTCGGCACGTCGCCCAGTACTGCCTGCGGGCCGAGCGAAGCCACTTGGTGTGGAGTCGGAGCTGCCACTGCACGGAAAGGAGGGCCAGCGCGCCTTCGGCGCCGTCCGAAAAGTGGTCGTCACTAAGCTGGAGTCGGAGGGCCCGCTGTTGGTCCAAAAGCGGCTGGATGGTAGCGGCCAATGTGCGATATCCAGGGCGGTATTCTGGGGCCTGAGCGAAGTGCCTGCTGCCTATCGTCATCATGGCGTCCATCATGAAACCCCAGTCGGCGTTGGGCGTCTGCTCCTCGTTCTGGATGGTGGCCCACTCGTCCGCATGTTCACGCAAGTAGGTCTCGAGCTCCATGAGGAAGGCCGCGCGGCCTTGGCCCGAACGAAGCGACTGCATGAGAGCCTCTCGGTTCCAGCGGATGGCCCGCGGCAGGTAGCCCAGGCGGCGGTGCTCCGTCATGTCACAGTGCACGTGAGAGTCCGTGGTGGCCGAGATTGAGTAGTACATGCAGGCGTGGACTGGGACGTGATCCCTGGGCGTGCGGGTGGCGATGACCTGCAGCTCTCTCCCTAGGCGACGAAGCGGCCCCGCCGAGGTGATGTCGCCCAGGCAGGCCTTGGGCACGAATATGAAATCGATCTGCGAGGCAGTCGACGGTCCGAAAAACGTCGGGCCCAGGCCTATGTAGCTGTTGACCGCAACCATGCCGAGCTCCTCCATGAGGGGCAGAATACTGGTGGCGGCGTAGCGCTGCTTGTCCAGCGCCAGCGGGCCGCTGACGTCGGAGGTGGTGGGCCGCCACTGTGGGTCACCGTCGAGCTGGTGTAGTCCGAGCCCTGAATTCAGGTCGATGCAGAAGATGGGGAGGACCCGCTTAGAGCTGAGGTAGGGCAGCGAGCGGAGCCAGTCCGTGAGCGCATCGCAGGTGCGGCGGTAGACGTCCTGGCCGCCCTTGACGGGCGGCGGTGGGTAGTAGGCCGAGCAGACGCCGAGGTCGTACTTGGAGCACCTGGCGCGGAGCGCGAGCCCACGCCCCGCGAGGGACCCAGCGGGGGTCCACGTGTGCGTCACGGAAGCCTTCTTCACCTTGGCCCCCAGGATGATGCTGCAGCCCGCACTCTTGTTGGTATACGGCCCACGAGACCACCCACTCTCTATGCACCAATTGTGATCTCCTGCCTTCCGCCAGCGTGCCTCCCAGGGTCTCTCACGTCCGTGACCCTTGGCGGTCGTGCCGTTCAAGCACACGAAGTCGTAGGCTCGGCAGGCTTGTGCGATCGCTGTGAGCCTCTCCCCGCTGGATGCGTGCAAGGGGTTGTACTGGAGCACTCGAAGACGGCTGCCGACCATCACGCGCACGAGCAGGAGCCAGCAGCCCACACTGCGACATCTAGAAGCCATCAGAAACGAGGTAAGATGTGAGAGGGATGCCTCTGAGAGGAGGCATGCAGGTGGTGTAGGAGCTGGGCGCCTGTCGCCCTGGGCACCTGTGCTGGCGCTCCTGACCCAGATGCCTTGAGGAGGAGGAGGAGGAGGAGGAGGAGGAGGAGGAGGAGAAGGTGGATGAGGAGGAGGAGGAGGAGGAGGACGCGCACGACCGTGTACGGTACGACCGAATTCGAGTGGAAAACAAAAACGAGAAAGAGAATGAGGAGGAGGAGGAGGAGGAGAGGAGGAGGAGGAGGAGGGAGGAGAGGAGGATGAGGAGGAGGAGGAGGAGAGAGGAGGAGGAGGAGAGAGGAGGAGGAGGAGGAGGGGGAGGGGGAGCCCGACCATGTCCACATCCACCGCCTGCCAAGGTCCCTGAATATAGATCCGCCAGGCGGTGGTTACGGATATACCTCCGCCCTGGACTGCGGGGCTCCAGATCTGGCCGACATCGGCGCGCTGCGCAGCAGCGCCGACAGCAGCACTTCAACCTGACTCAAGCCAACGGAGATTTCTGGTGGTGCCCATGTGGACATGTTCGCCGCTCGCGCGGAGGAAGGGTGACGAGGATGAAAACAATATTAAACAAAAGGGGCAAGCTAAAGGGGGAAGGGAAGAGGATGAGGCGGAGGAGCGAAGGAAAGGGAAACAGAGAGAGCGAGAGAGAGAGAGGAGAGAGAGAGAGAGAGAAGGAGAGAGAGTGAGAGAGGAGAGAGAAAGAGAGCGTACTCAGCGCAACGAGAAAGAGAGGAGAGAGAAAGAGAGAGAGAGAGAGGGAGAGGAGAGAAAGAGAGAGAGAGAGAGAGAAGAGAGAGAGAGAGAGAGAAGAGGCGAGAGAGAGAGAGAGGAGAGAGAGAGAGAGAGGAGTGAGGGAGAGAGAGAGAGAGAGAGAGAGAGAAGAAGAGAGAAGGAGAGAGAGAGAGAGAGAGAGACAAAAAAAAAAAAACGAGAGGGGGGAGCAGAGAAGGAGATAGAGGAGAGGAGGAGGAGGAGGAGGAGGAGGAAGGAGGAGGAGAGGAGGAGGAGGAGGAGAGGAGTAGAGAGGAGGAGGAGGAGGAGTGGAGGGAGGGAGGACGAGGAGAGGAGGAGGAGGACGAGCAGGAGGAACAGGAGGAGGACGAAGAAAGGAGGAGGATGAGAAAGGATGGAGAGGAGGAGGAGGAGGAGGAGGAGAGGAGGAGAGGAGGGGGAGGAGGAGGAGGGGGGGAAAAAGGGGGGAGGGCCGCGGTGAGAGCGAGGAGCACGCGGCGAGGGAGGCCGCATCACAAGGGCCGAGAGGAGGCAGAGACGCGCCCGCGCGGTGCGCCCGGGGGGGGGGGGGGGCGGAGGGTGTCCGTCGTCACCGAGAAGGGCAGGCGCTCGAACAGGTGCAGGGACTCCCGCGTCATGGCGTTGAGGTGCACGCAGCACTCCCTCGCGAATACGCCTCCTCCTTCTGCTGCTGCCGATGCTGCTGCTCCTGCTGCTGCTCCTCCTCCTCCTCCTCCTCGTCGTCGTCCTCCTCCTCCTCCTCCTCCTCCTCAAACAGTTGGCGTGGCGACTCCATTTCCCAGCCGTGCTGGACTTCGAATTGGACGGAGCACTTGGGGTCCAACTCGGGGACATGCCGCCGTTCGCAAAATCGACGCCGACCAGCAGAGGCGCAAGGCGCTGAGGTGCACGCAGCATTCCCTCGCGAGGGGGGGCGGGCGACCCTGAGATCCGAGGGGCGCAGTGTCCTCACACCGGACATGCTCGCCAAGATTCGGGCCCCAGGACCATCGTGGATCGACCCAGCCCGCAAAGTGCCGCGGAAAGGCGGAGTCTAGGGCTCCGATCGTAATGTTTCGCGATGCTGCATGTTTGCCGCAGCGCTGCTTTTCTCGCGATGTGCCGGATCTCCGAGGAGGGGCGTCGTCGTCGCTCGCCAAGGGCTTGACGACTTCTGCTGTCCCTCGGCACGCGCTAAGGCATCTGCGGTGTACTCGCGTTTTCCGTGGACATCCCTGGAGTTACCTGGACATATGTGGATGTGCCTAGACTCGTGTGTATGCGCTTCGATGTCCCTTGCTTAATCCCCGCAAATTGATTGGAGAAGACGCTAAGCCCTCAGGGAATCGCCACTGATCCCTCCTCCGCCTCCACCTCCTCCACCTCCTCCACCTCCTCCACCTCCTCCTCCTCCTCATACCCATCGGGCATCTGTGATCGTGGTCATCCTTCCTATCCTTCATACTCCTCCCCTCCTCCTCTCCTTCCTCCTACCTCCTCCTCCTCCATCCTCTCCCTCCTCCTCATCATCATCATCATCATCATCATCATCATCATCATCATCATCATCATCATCATCATCATCATCATCATCATCGTCAGCAGCATCATCATCATCAAAATCATCATCATAAGCATCATCATCCGTATTATCATTATCGTCATCATAATCATCATCAGCAGCATCAGCATCAGCATCATCATCATGATCACCATCATCATCATCATCATCGTCAGCAGCATCATCAACATCATCCTCATCCTCATCCGCATCATCATCTTCATCATCTTCATCACAAGCGTCATAGTAACAACAACAACAACAACAACATCATCAACATCGCCACCGGCATCACCATAACCAGCATCATCATCATCATCATCATCATCATCATCATCACCATCACCATCATCATCATCATCATCATCATCATCATCATCGTCATCATCATCACCATCACCATCACCAGCAGCATCATCAACATCATCGCAATCATCATCAGCATCGTCATCGTCAGCATCATCGTCAGCATCATCGTCATCATGGTCATCATCAGCAGCAGCATCAGCATCAGCATCATCCCTTCCTACAGGCTCGGTAGTGCAAATCTCGGCATGGCAGCCCCTGTAGGCAGTCGACTGGGGATAAAGAAGACCTCCCTCTTTTCGGGCACGCTTGTCCCGAAGTCGTCGGCTGCAGGAGCGTCCTCGTGCACCACCTGCGCATCAGACTCGGACTGGCACTTGCAAGGTTTGGTCGCTCATTTTACTAATTACGTCTCCTCCTGGCGCGTCGCCGAAGGTGCACCGAGTGCTCACCTGATCGAACAGCACGGGCGCCCGATCTGAACACGCCCAGTCCTTGTGACAACGATGTGCCAGGCGTGCCTTATCCCCACGCCTCTTCCCACACCTCCTCCTTCTGCTACTACTACTACTACTACTACTACTACTGCTGCTGCTGCTGCTGCTACTACTACTACTACTACTGCTACTACTCCTACGACTACTACCACTACTACTATTACTACTACTACTACTACTACTACTACTACTACTACTACTACTACTACTACTACTACTACTACTAAATTACTACTACTACTACTAAATTACTACTACTACTACTACTACTACTACTACTACTACTACTACTACTACTACTACGACTACGGCAGCTACTACGGCTACGACTACTACCACTACTACTACTACTA